AACCAAAAGTCATAATTACAAGTGTCTCTTTGTTCCGTTAAGCGGGTGGGGCAGTGCTATCCTACCCGGAATGGGGCACATATTTATATTACACATTCCTGCGGAGGGAGCTGGTAGGAACGTTGGGTTGCTCGGTCAATGGCCAGGGTCAACGGCGGCGTGGTGTATTCCGCAAATATGCCCGACTGTGAGGGCGGGCACAAGCCGGCGTGAGTAGGTGAAACGTTGAGTTTTATAAGGGCACCACGGGGTGACCAGCCCCTCCCCACCCAGCCCCACCCAGCCCCAACCCTCCCACTCCCCATCCAGCCCCACCCTCCCCACCCAGCCCCTCCCCACCCTCCCCTCTCTACCCAGCCCCACCCCTCATTTTTGGATGCACGACGGACGGACGGACACAAGAATCCCCAGTGGGCTGGTGAAACCAGGTGGTTCCTACCAGTATTACACGTTCCTATGGCGAGGAGCAGTATTTCAATCATACACGCAAGCACGGTTAATAGTGGCAAAGCAAGTTCAGCTATTGCCATTGCAGCCAACATGCATGCGGATTAGCTGTACGGCATTTAGTGTGACGCTGCGGGTGGCAGTGCTGCAACAGGCACAAATAACAAAAAGCAAACATTTATCAACGCACACCAGAGCCATGAAGAGGGTCCATTAACCGAAACGTGCATTATCACTGTGCATGTTTTTGTTCATTTTAGGGGCGATGTTACTGACGAATGTTTTGAACTTTATCTCCAGACGTGTCTGTCCAATTGCTGGAATGGGAAATTAACGTTGGTATTTTGCCACTTTTAATCAACCCATCGCTACACATTTCCAGACCTGAATGTTTCCCGATGGCATTTAAAACTATACACTTTTTTTTATTTGACCAGGTAAAGCCGACTTAGCTATTAGCTTATTTTTCAGAAGCGACCTGGCCACAACGTTAGCTCAACGGAAGTGGCTTATCACGTGGAAGTTAGTAGCCAATACTCTGAAGGCGTGATGTTGATTCTAAATGTGCAGGCAAAAACCGGAGGAACTGGAGAAAAATCCACGCGACCACGGGAAGAGAGACAAGCAAACTCCAAATAAACAATCTTAATTTTGGAGCTTTCGTGACTGCAGGAATTACTCTTTGGGTCTTTCGGTAAAGTCACGTATAAAGATAAAATAATAATTAATAATAGCATACGACGTTAGATTGCAACACAAGCAATCATCATCAGGTATAAATGAAATAGCAACAACAATCTAACCATAAAACTATAGACAGACATATAAGCAGACAGATATCACCAAATAAACTCATCCAAATCATCAAAATAAACAGCAGCAGGCGTCAGGGTTGTGATCGACCTCACGACCTCCTGTATACCAGGCGAGGTAGTTAACATCACCTAGCCACCGTGGCTATTAAACGTTTGATAGGCTTGACTTCAATAAAAAAAACACATCGACTCTAATAAACACATTTAAAAACTTAATCTCGGCACCGCGTGGCGCTGCGTTGGCGAGATGTTAACTACCTCGCCTGGTAGACAGGAGGTCGTGGGTTCAATCCCAACCTTGACGCCTGTATTATTGGAGTGTGCGTGTTCTCCCCGTGGCCGTGTGGATCTAACTCCCGGTTCTCCGGTTTCTACCTCCACATTCAGAAACGTGCGTTTAGAGTATTTGGCTGCTATAAACGTACACTTGAATAAGGGGCCATCCATTTAGTACATACGCATGGAGGGGGGAAGGGGGGGTTAACCCAATGTGTTCGCTTGCGTATGGGGGGGGGGGTCTACTGACAATGTACGTACGCATAGGAAACAGGGGGGAGGGAGGTGATCAGGTGAAGCCTCGATTATAATTTGTCTACATTTGCCTTCAAATGAGTTACATAGTCCGGCGGTGGACTATCTGTTTGCTTAAACACGTTAATATTATTAATCCTTGATCGTTTCTGCGTGGATTCAATATCGGCCGTTCGATAGGACTACAGCTTGTTTGCTCGTCCTCGGACGGAAGCTGAAATATTAAAGATGCACATTTATTTTTCGATTTAAAGCTTTCGTGACTGCAGGGATTCATCTTCTTGGTTCTTTCGGTAAAGTCACGTAAAAGGGAAGTAATAAAATGATAAAAATAAAACATAATAAAATAATTCTCACGACGTTTCGGCCACAACGCAAGCAGCCGTCCTCAGGTGGAGAACAGGTCCGTCAAGTAGACAGAGTCTGAATGGCACGCTCCAGGCTTGGAGCGACTATTTATGCTGGGATGGAGGGGGGAAGAGCGTCTTGACAAAATAACGAAAATATATCACCACTCTCCCATTGACATATTTCGTTGCTTCCTCTTGGTGCCTTTCACGCGACGGTCAGTGGTATAGTGTATAGCATATTGTATAATAATAAATAGTATTAAAGTGTAATGTTTAATACAATGTATTAAGTAATATATAGTATCGTAATTGTATGGTGAATATACAGCAGTGTGGTATACAGTTGGGTGGGTAGAATAATACATAGTGTAATATTACAATGTATAGTCTAAAAACATATTAGTTGCTGCGGCGCCATATTATTAACATTCCTTCCCTTTATTAATTCTGACCTTACTCCCTCCCTTTGATGCTGCTAATCCTGCATAATGCACGGGGCATAATGACTTTAAACCCCTCGCCAAACCTCCTACGCATTTCACAAGTAGTACTAATCGCATATCTGCATTTCCCATAAATATGCTAAATTCCTCTTGATATGCAAATTATTTTGTCAAGGCGCTCTTCGCCCCTCCATCCCCGCTTAAATAGTCGCTCCAAGCCTGGAGTGTGTTATTCAGACTCTGTGTACTTGACAGACCTGTTCTCCACCTGAGGACGGCTGCTTGCGTTGTGGCCGAAACGTCGTGAGAATTATTTTATTATGTTTTATTTTTATTATTTTATTACTTCCCTTCTACGTGACTTTACCGAAAGAACCAAGAAGATGCACATTTATGTTTTTTTAGTCTTTGTTTCTTTCGGTAAAGTCACGTAGGTATAAAATAAAATAAATCACGACGTTTCGGGCGCGACACAAGCGTCCGTCATCAGGTGGGAAAGCGTGATTCACCCGCTCATGATTATTAATGACGGGGGGAGGGGAGGGGCTCTTTTGCAGTGACGTCATTGGCAGCTGTGGTGCTTTGCGTCAATAACACTGTGTGACCTTAAAAGGACACAAATATATCTATAATAGGCGACGTTTCGGGCAATGGTCCTTCACAGCATACTGACAGGACCAGAGGTAGAATGGCCTATGCTTTGTGAAGAAGGGCCATTGCCTTAAACGTCGTCTATTATATTTTTATTTTGTTATTGAGTGAAGTTATTTGAAGGAACTACAGCAGCAACCAGTCGATGCCGATTTAAGGGGCCGTCCATAAATGACGTCACGCGATTTTGACGATTTTTAACCCCCCCCCCCCCCCATCGTCACGCGGCTTCACAAAAAGTCAGACCCCCCCCCCTCAAATATGACATCACAAAGCTCTGCCCCCCCCCCCCCAAAAAAAAACATGCTTCAAATCGCTTTAAAATACAGTACTGTCATTGTAGTGCGTATTTGATGTGCCGCTGCACTCTGATGTTGTAGGAGAAACATTTATCAAAAAGTCTATTTAATTAAGTAAAACGTGTTGTCTATATTTATTTAAAGTTGCGAGTTTTGATCTGACGTCACATTTCTCAACCCCCCCCCCCCTCGTCACACATCGTCACAAATGTCTGACCCCCCCCCCCCCCCAGGTGCGTGACGTCATTTATGGACGGCCCCTAACACTGCATGGTTACAGGATAACTTCTTTTGTCCGACGATTCGGGAAATAGCCCCTTCTTCGTTTACGTACTATGAAGTAAGGATCCTTGCCCGAAACGTCCCCTATTTCCTTTTTTTTGTTAAAAGCCACAACGTAATTGACGAATCTGTTAAATCTTTAATGAATATTGACATTACCAATGTTGTATAACCAACCCTTCTGTCATGTACGTCTACTATGAAGAATGGTATGTTGCCCGAAACGTCGCCTATTATATCAAAGGGTCCCGCGCACAAACACACGCACACGGTGCAACGCACGTGGTCACGAATCTGTGACGAGGCTCTCAGTCACGATGCTGTTCTAGACTCAAACAATAGGGGAGTGGGATCTATTGTTCATGCAGGACCCTATTGTTCGTGCAGGACCCCATTGTTCGTGCAGGACCCCATTGTTCGTGCAGGACCCTATTGTTCATGCATGACCCCATTGTTCGTGCAGGACCCTATTGTTCGTGCAGGACCCCATTGTTCGTGCAGGACCCTATTGTTCGTGCAGGACCTCATTGTTCGTGCAGGACCCCATTGTTCGTGCAGGACCCTATTGTTCATGCAGTACCCCATTGTTCGTGCAGGACCCTATTGTTCGTGCAGGACCTCATTGTTCGTGCAGGACCCCATTGTTCGTGCAGGACCCTATTGTTCGTGCAGGACCCCATTGTTCGTGCAGGACCCTATTGTTCGTGCAGGACCCCATTGTTCGTGCAGGACCCTATTGTTCGTGCAGGACCCTATTGTTCGTGCAGGACCCTATTGTTCGTGCAGCGTTCCCGAGACTGGAGGAAGAAAGCTTTGTGACGAGCTAAATAACTAAATAAGTTGCTTTCGACGGCATCACATCCGGCGGATACATCGGTTTAAAGGTTGTTGGCTGGCGGGGAGGAGGGAGGGGTTTAAAGGGAAACTGTGGGTTGGGGTTTCTGTTTGTAAGCGCTGTTGTGTTGATTCAACGTTGCGTTGTCGAGGGGCTGCGACGCGGTCGTCAGGGATTTTATCTTTTGTCTGGGCACGCTGTTCGTGTGCCTTGTGATACGCTCGCTGCGCAGTCTAACATCGTCGTTGGGGAGACAAAGGCGGCCGTGGGTGGTGGTGCTGGCCACCCACACAGTGCTGGCCTGCACACGACAGTCAGTCGCGGGCTATGTACGGGGTAGGGGGGGGCGGTGTTTGTTATCTTTTAAATATTGATAGGTGCTAGTCGCACAACAGTCTGTAGCCAAGGAAGGGGGAGTTGTTGGTGGTGGTGGTAGTTGGTGGTGGTTGTTGGTTGTATTGTTGGTAGTGGTTGTTGTAGGTGGTAGTTGGTGGTGTTATTGTTGTTGGTTGTTGTTGGTGGTGGTTGTTGTAGGTGGTGGTAGTTGGTTGTTGTTGGTAGTTGGTGTTATTGTTGGTGGTGGTTGTTGGTGGTAGGTGGTGGTAGTTGGTGGTGGTTGTTATTGTTGGTGGTGGTTGTTGTAGGTGGTGGTAGTTGTTGGTAGTTGGTGGTGGTTGTTATTGTTGGTGGTGGTTGTTGTAGGTGGTGGTAGTTGTTGGTAGTTGGTGGTAGTTGTTGGTAGTTGGTGGTGGTTGTTATTGTTGGCGGTGGTTGTTGTAGGTGGTGGTAGTTGTTGGTAGTTGGTGGTGGTTGTTGGTGTTATTGTTGGCGGTGTTTGTTGTTGTCGGTGGTTGTTGTTGGTGGTTGTTGTTGGTGGTGGTTGTTGGTGTTGTTACACGAGACAAGATGCCGCGGAAGACGCCTCTGAAGGTGTCTGTGGATGTGACCGTCCATGCCGTGAGTACTGTACCACCATGCCGTGAGTACTGTACCACCATGCCGTGAGTACTGTACCACCATGCCGTGAGTACTGTACCACCATGCCGTGTGTACTGTACCACCATGCCGTGTGTACTGTACCACCATGCCGTGAGTACTGTACCATCATGCCGTGTGTACTGTACCACCATGCCGCGAGTACTGTACCACCATGCCGTGTGTACTGTACCACCATGCCGTGTGTACTGTACCACCATGCCGTGTGTACTGTACCACCATGCCGTGAGTACTGTACCACCATGCCGTGAGTACTGTACCACCATGCCGCGAGTACTGTACCACCATGCCGTGTGTACTGTACCACCATGCCGTGTGTACTGTACCACCATGCCGTGAGTACTGTACCATCATGCCGTGTGTACTGTACCACCATGCCGCGAGTACTGTACCATCATGCCGCGTGTACTGTACCACCATGCCGTGTGTACTGTACCACCATGCCGTGTGTACTGTACCACCATGCCGTGAGTACTGTACCACCATGCCGTGAGTACTGTACCACCATGCCGTGTGTACTGTACCACCATGCCGTGTGTACTGTACCACCATGCCGCGAGTACTGTACCACCATGCCGTGAGTACTGTACCACCATGCCGTGAGTACTGTACCACCATGCCGTGAGTACTGTACCACCATGCCGTGTGTACTGTACCACCATGCCGTGTGTACTGTACCACCATGCCGTGAGTACTGTACCACCATGCCGCGAGTACTGTACCACCATGCCGTGTGTACTGTACCACCATGCCGTGAGTACTGTACCGCCATGCCGTGAGTACTGTACCATCATGCCGTGAGTACTGTACCACCATGCCGTGAGTACTGTACCACCATGCCGCGAGTACTGTACCACCATGCCGTGAGTACTGTACCACCATGCCGTGAGTACTGTACCACCATGCCGTGAGTACTGTACCACCATGCCGTGTGTACTGTACCACCATGCCGTGTGTACTGTACCACCATGCCGTGAGTACTGTACCATCATGCCGTGTGTACTGTACCACCATGCCGCGAGTACTGTACCACCATGCCGTGTGTACTGTACCACCATGCCGCGAGTACTGTACCACCATGCCGTGAGTACTGTACCACCATGCCGTGAGTACTGTACCACCATGCCGTGTGTACTGTACCACCATGCCGTGAGTACTGTACCACCATGCCGTGAGTACTGTACCACCATGCCGTGTGTACTGTACCACCATGCCCAGCTGCACCACCAACTTTACATCGCACGGGGTTAATGCACATACATGCATGGTCCAGATGTGCTGTGACCCCCCCCCCCTCCCCATTTAATTATCTAAAATGTAATGTTTGTGAAGTAAGATTTATTAGAAACGGAGATGCATACACTATACAAAGTGATTGGTGTCTATTCATGGGGGGGTCACAAGACATCTGGACCAACCTGTACTTACTGCTGTGGAGGTGCAAAGCGCCGATTTGAGTGCACCTTGAATATAGACGCAATAAGCGAGACCTTTTGACAATGTGGCGACGATGTTTAAGTGTCGGTGTACAATGTGGTCGTCTGTACAGGAACGTATTGCGTGCGATTGCATGTATATAATGTCCAGAGGTGGTCCAGATGTCTGGTGACAACCCCCCTCAATTCATTGACGGTGAACAATGTTTTGTTGTTGTTGTTGTTTCCTTAGCAATATTCACTTCTGCTTTAAATAAACGTTATTTTTTTTATAGAGGGGGGAATGTACGTTTTAAGAGAATTAAATGTGGGTCACGGGACATTTGGACCACCCATTACAATATGAGATCTCTTTTACCAGTGGCAAAATATAGTAGTAGGTTTTTTACCCTTTTAAACTGGTACGAAACTGACACCTTTATACAAGGCATCATGTTTGCAATAACCACAACACAAGTAGTCAAAAAATGCAAACAAAAAGAAGCAACTCTGATAATGATAATAATATGCACTGCTCTAAAGAAAGCCGTCTTGGGTGTGGACCAATCAACTTCAAGGACAGTGCATATTATTATCATTATCAGAGTCAGTTTTGTTTTGTACCAGTTTAAAAGGGTAAAAACCTACTACTACACCCATTACAATGTTTATACATCACGACCGTAACTCGAATCAATGCAGCGTTTTTCATGTCACGCATGTGACATTTACCAGCGTGCACAGTCTGACTCTGGGTTGGATGTGGATGTGGTCTCTGTGCCCGTACATTGTACACACCATGAATACGAACTTGTATCTTGCCTAAAATAATAATAACAGCAATATAAATCATTAACTTTAAACGTGCTTTTCGAGTACCGAACCAAGTGGAGAGCAATAATCAATGCACCGTGTGGACTTTGGTCCATGCTGTGGTATATTGACAAAGATTAATGCAAAGTTGGTCACCCTGCACTGCGATAATTATGCAGATAAACTCCTGGCATTATTTTTTTTCCGTTGCACAACAGGGCGCACGTTCAATTAAATACCATTTAAAAATTTTGCGTTTAAATTTCGATTTAAAGCTTTCGTGACTGTAGGGATTCATATTCTTGGTGCTTTTGGTAAAGTCACGTAGAAGGGAAACAATAAAATAATACAAATATAAAACAATACAATTCTTACGACGTTTCGATTGCAACACAAGCAATCATCATCAGGTGTGAAATCCACAGCAAGAAAGTTTTCCAAGAATATGTTTGCGTTTGTTCACGGATCACATCTCGCAAGCACATTGTACAATGGTTTAACATGGCAAAAAATTCCCGCAAAATTATGAACGCATAACAACCAATTAGGGTAAGACTAAACATCCATCCATAATCTTGTAAAGGTCACGCCTGTGACCCCGGGTCCCAATTGAAAACGAAACTCATCCTAGTCTCTAGAATTCTCACCCCCCTTTAAACAAAATCAGCTTCGAAATTGAACTTGAATAAATACAATGTAGCAAAATATTCAGTACGAACCTGTTTTCTCGTAAAATAAATCACTCGAGTAAATTTGGCCACGTTTCATCAAACTGCACCACGAATCATCGCGACTTGAGAGCGGTGTGGTCTTTATTCTGGTCTCTTGGAACATCGCGAAGCAAGCGCGGCGATTTCGCTGATGCGTTGGTGCAGGCCCGACCGCTGGAGCAGAGAATACGCTCCACAGTTCGGATGCTCGAGTTGCAAGTTTATTTTGTTACTTAACCGGGTGAGAACTCGGGAGGTGACCTGGGTTCACCAAAGTGACAAAAGCTAATTAGTGTGGTGGGAGTGTAACGTTCTCTCATACATTCAGCTCAGATTGTCGAATGGCAGTCAGGCCGGTATTTGAATGATCTGGTGCTTGACTTCAGCCAAGCTAAGTGAGTATGAGGTGTGTTTAATACAGTAGTTGGTCATCTGATTGAGAATAGCTGCTGCTCAGGGACTTGAAAATCCAGCTCAGGTGGCCGCCCGGATTTGAACCCAGAATTGTAACGGTGCAGGCTCTATGCTGACCTCTAAGCCACGGGGTCACCTCATACATGCATCATTATTTGACTTGCCAATTTCAACCTCGTGCACCGGCTGACACAATCTCATTGTGCGACTTGGGACAGAATTTTTATCATCGCTTTTAAATACTTTCGAGGACAGACACATGTTAGAAAGTGTTCCGTAAACCGTGCATATTCATGAATCTCCTTGTTAAGAAAATGTCTTAACTTAGCAGCGGCTTGCCCGCGTGTGCAGGTGACATGCCCTGGCGCAGTGCTCATAGGGAGCGAGCGCGTCTACATGAGCGTCTGCGTGCTCGGATGCTATGCCAAGACCCGGGCCATCGAGCCCGGCTTCCCACTGCTCTTCCGACAGACGCTGCACGTGTGTAAGGTGAGAAGGGAAGGCACGAGAGGACACCTTGTCATTATCTGTTTTTATTGTTCAAGAACCCAACAAATAAAGCGTCTGGGAGGGAAGCACAGGTCATGAACGCGTAACGTTTCGGGGCGAAACACCCCTTAAAAAAGGGGGCCTGCTGGAAGCACGACCATCGTAGGGATGACAGTCGGGAGTAGCGCATTTGCAGGGGAGGGGAAGGAAAGTAAAAAAATGGGGGTGTGTGTTTGTTGAACTTTTTTCCCACCTTACGTAGTCAACCGTGCTAATCACCTGCGGGAGGAGGCCTCGAAATAACCTGGGCGGATGTCCCGTTCCCCTCGTATAACTCCCGTTATATGCGGGGAACAGCACTAGCAAAAATATAAAAACTGAACAGCAGGCATAGAAAGTGAGCTTTGTGGTCAAGCTATTTTTATCGATCCGAAAAAAAATCTGAAAATCGAGAAGGACAGGAAACTAACACAAAGCATTTTTTTTAGGAAATTAGTTTTAACAGTGCATAGTGTCCAGTGGTTTCCTAATATCGAAAGGGAGAGCGCTCCAAACGGCCGCAGAAGCGCATCTGAAAGCGCGTGATGCTGTGAACGCCTTTATTCGATGGCGAGCCAAAGGCCGCTGCAAGGATGACTGGAGGTCACATCATGGTGTATGTTTCTTCACGAGATCAGCAAAGTATCATGTGACAAACACTTGCGCAATAATGTTTTTGTGTCTATGTACGGTATTCACTCGTTATTCACGAACTTGCTATCCATGATTTTGGCTATCCACGAATTGCATCTGGAACTCGACTGCATCGAGAGAGAAAGAAAGTGATGAGATCATTTTCATGTATTTAATAGCCTATTTAGGTATTTATTTAAGGTCATTCATAAAAACAGGTTTTCATAGGCCAATATTATTATCCGCAAAGTTTGCTATTTGCAAGGATCTCCGGAACGTATCGCTCGCGAATAATGAGGGAATACTCTGTGCCAGTATTGCGTGTGTACCTGTGCATGTGTTTATACACGTGTGTGTTTAAATACTGTTTGAATGTATGTATGTAAGCATGCCTGTTTTGTGTGTGTTTACGTGAATAATTACTGTGCATGCCTGTACGAGTATCTGAAAGAAGGCCCAAAGGCTGACGGATTCAAATTAAATTGCGCTTCTTAGCAAATACAAATAGAGCTCCTTTGCTTACTCACGCAAGTGTTGAGGGCTTCCGTAATTTACGTCAAAAAGTAATCGTATTAACAATGTGTTTATTCTTGTTGTTGTCTCACATTGCCACAGGTCTTGGAAGGAGTTGATGACTTGGAAGACCTCACGGATTTATTTGAAGGTTTGTAATCTCCACAAGACCACACGTGTGGGGGCTCTAATAGATCTTCTTGGTTCTTTCAGTAAAGTCACGTAGAAGGGAAATAATGAATTAATAACATTTAACATTATAAAATACAATTCTCACGACGTTTCGGCCACAACGCAAGCAGCATTCCTCAGGTGAAGAACAGGTCTGTCGGAAAGACAGCGTCATTCAGTCATTCAGACGCTTTCTTTCCGACAGACCTGTTCTTCACCTGAGGACGGCTGCTTGCGTTGTGGCCGAAACGTCGTGAGAATTGTATTTTATTATGTTTTATTTTTATTATTTTATTATTTCTCTTCTACGTGACTTTACTGAAAGAACCAAGAAGATGAATCCTTGCAGTCACGAAAGCTTTAAATCGGCTCTAATAGAGTTTAACATTTTAACCTCGCAGGGTAAGTCCTCACTTAATACGTGTTCACGCAACGCGTGTTTCCTACAACACGCTACTCCTATGAGGGAACACTTTTCAAACAATGCGGAACACGCACCGTTACAATGCGGTTTCTGAGCGGTCAACCGACGAACAACTTTCTTGAGCCGCGTGGCTGAGCGGTACGGTAATACTGTAGGCGGAATGATAGAGTACGCAGTACGGTACAGTATGCAGAATTATACAGTATGTGGTACGATACACTGTGGGATGATACAGTACGTGGTACGGTACATTACGCGGAATGGTACAGTATTCTGTGCTATACAGTACGCGGAATGGTACAGTACGCAGAATTATACAGTATGCGGTACGATACAGTATGTGGGATGATAGTGCGTGGTACGGTACATTACGCGGAATGGTACAGTATTCGGTGCTATACAGTATGCGGAATGGTACAGTATGCAGAATGATACAGTACGCGGAACGGTACAGTACGTGGCCGCCAGCGGTCATCCCCGCCATGGGATGACCGCTGGCTGATATTACAGTGCAAATGTGATTCGATAGCAGTAATTCCTCACTTTGCACGGTTTTCATCAGATTAATTTTTACATTAGATCACATTAAAGTTACCAGCTGGACTCGCTGTGTTTCACGTTACACGAGATTCAACTTTACAGCCCCCTCCTTCACAGGCCCGTACTGACCAGTGGGGGTAAGGTGTGGTCAAACGACCCCAATAACCGACATGGCACGGGGGAGACGTTCAAACTATTGGTGGACACACAAAAGGGCTGTAGGTTAGTTTACGTGATTAAGTTGGTGGTGCTTTGCCAGGGGTGCTGCATGCACAAGCAGCTTGCAAGCTCAGGTCGCCGTTTGTTGGGTGGACACGGCACCTGACCACCGTCTCTCCGGCCAATACATTGATTGCGTCTTGTTTGGGAAGTCAACCGTGAGTGCCTTGTGGAGACTGGCCCTTGCCATAGGAATGTGGCATTTCCACTAATCATTGGAGATGAACTGCACTGTCAAGTCAATTCAATTTTCGCTAAAAACAAGTTGTGCCTTTCTGGCACATCTGCTTCTCATAGCACCATCACATTAATAGTCTTGAGCATAAAAATGTAAAAAAATTACAATGAGAAAAAAATATATATATATAGTCTGTTCTCCTCTAACGCAGTAGTTGCATTCCTGAAGAACATCGCGTTATGGAAAATTCGCATTCTAATAAATAGTAAATAATATAGGACAAGCCACAGTCCGCGTACACAGGCTGAACAAAGACTGAGGCGCGTGGGTAGCATCTAGAAGCATCCAGCAGTATCCCGCATTGTGTGCTGCTATGTCGAGGCAACCATACGACCACTTATTCCTACTCGCACGACGTAGTTTTGTTCACTCGGTCGCGTTATATCCAATTCGCGTTATGAAAATAACATGCGGCGTTATAGGAGAACAGACCGTATGTACAATATATAGCTTCAAATATAAATATTAAAGCAAGTTGTGGCTGTGAATTAGTTGTTGTTCGTTCACTTGAGCGGGGAGACGATTTGACTTTTGATTGAGGGCAGGAGACCCATTTTAAGGTGCAGAAATGTCGTATTAATAGTTACAATGCCTGTTGTTTTGTTATTCTTTTGAGCCTGATCCCATGCCCTGTCGCCCTTTCCAGCCGAGGACATCACGTTTGAGCTGGTTCAACTTTGCCCCCCAGGTAAGACGGCTCTTGGGGTTTCTCTTGCGTTCCGGTTATGGTCGAACGGTGGGAAATGTGGTTGCCGCACCGCAGTATGTAGCCAGAGTCTCGGTCGCGGCTGACGTCCAGTGACGAACCGCTCCTGGGCTCCGACGCTTCGCCGACCCGCACTGGCCGCCGTGGTGAAGTATGGTCAAACAAACCCCCATGATTGAACACCGCTTGGGACAGGCCTTCATCCAGCAGTGGATTGACACAGGGCGGTAAATGATTGTTATTACCATCTATTCTATTTACGGTGTCACATTAGTGTTTCAGTCTTGCTGTCAGATGGTGCAGGCATCACCGCCATTGCCCATGATGGCCTGTTTGACTGGACTCTAGCCCAGTCTGTGCTGTCGGAGCGAGACCTCTAGTTTCCGTTGGGAACTAAAAACTATTACATTATTTGTATTTGACCAGGTAAAGCCCACTGAGCTATTTAGCTATTTTTGAGAAGCAAACAGACCATAAATGATAGCCCAATAAAGTGGCTTATCACGTGAACATTTCTAGCAGCCAAATACTGTAAACGTATGTTTCTAAATGTGGAGGGAGAAACCAGAGGACCTGGAAAAAAATCCACGTGACCACGGGGAGAGAGATGTGCGAACTCCAAATATACAGCAGGCGTCAGGGTCGGGATCAAACCCACGACCTCCTGTATAACAGGCGAGGCAGTTAACATTTCTCCACGGCGGCGCCCTACTCATATAGTTTGTGCTTGTGTAGGGGTGTTATGGGAGGGAAACGGACAAGCACATAGGGGTGTCCACATCCACGTCCGCAAACGGTTACCACCCTGGGGGGCTGTGGGGGGATGCTGGGATCCCACACAGCCCCACCCCTCGGTGGCAAATTGGTATTAAAGGCGGGGAGCAAGAGGGCTCGGGGAACAGTGTTGGGAAGCTAAGGAGCGAAGAACCAGTGAAGACTGAAGACCGGCAGATAGGCCCTGGAACTCCTCTGACTCACCGTCCTTCTCAGGACCGGGCAGAGCAAGCCAGCGGTGTGACCCCAGAGCCTCAGAGCCGATGTTCTTCTAAAAGCCGGGTCTGGCTGGCCGGGTCTCGTGACCTGCGCCTTGACCAGGGCCAGGTCAGATAGCATCCCCTAGCACCCTTAGCGGAGGACCTGGGAGCAGAACAGTTAGGCAGATAGCCTAGGGGTGTATCCCAGTCCAGTACGGGTGAAGGTGCCGTTACCCCTTCAAGTGTTGTATACGTTGCCCTGTGCCGAGTGTAAAGTTATAATAAATAGTGTGCTTCGACTACACCGTCTCTGTCGCTTGTGAACCCACTACACTTGTGTAGCCGGCGAGACTCTGGCGACGTACACAGAGGCCGCGTCGTCGCTGCTCGTCCCTGGGCCTCTCCGTGAGGTGCTCATGACCAGATCAGCAGAGTTCTCGGTGAGACGCAGTCACGTGTGTGCCAATAGGAAGACCCTCTTCCAAGTTCCAGGGCTCTTCAGAATCCGAATATTTATACTGAAGGAATCCGATGAGCTATAAGGCTCTTTATCAGAGATGTCCACTTTAACTGGTGGCCTAGACTGGCCCGCCGCACTACTGTTCACCTCCCCCCCCCTGCTCCCTCCCCCCCCCCCCCCCCAAGAGACGTGGCTTGCGGAGACCTAGAGATACAGATTAACGGGAAGAAAGTGAGATAAACAAGATGTAGGGATGAAAGGGCTATAGACGAGAGAAACCGTTTGAGTGATGTGAAAGTGACATGAGAGATAGATGAGATTAAATCAAGGTGTACATTATTAACACTTTACAACTAAGGCTGCAAAATAATCGGACACAAAAGTGTGACAACGCTCGTGATGATGAAACGATAGAAACGCGTCTCGGATAGATTCGCGTTGCCAACGGGGACTCGCCCTCGTGGGGGGGGAGGGGGGGAATAAAAACAATTCAAAGGGTGTATGTATGTACGTTAAACTTCTTTGGCACCGTACGTAGCCAATCGGAGGTGCTGGTGGCAGAAACCCAGCGCTCGAAGTATTTACCTTGCCGGCCAAGGTGACGACATCATAACGGGTGACGTCTCATGCTCATTTTTGAACTGCTTTATGTGTTTAGTTGTCCTTCCCCCGCACCTCTGATTCGCATGGTTGGCTACGTACGGTGCGAAAGAAGTTCAACATGCATACAAAGGCAAAGACCACCCGTATAGCCGTAACCGACTATTGAGGCAAGTGCTGTTAGCGAGCACCTATGAAGGCTGACACGGCACACGGAGGGGGTAGGGGGGGGTGGCCAGTACCACACCCGACCACCTTTTTCTCCCCAGTGGCGATGATTTTACACACCGCGTCAGGTACTCATTTGAGCCTGAGTCGATCTAAGAGAGGCCCAGGACCGGTTGATATAATCGTCACTGGTATGGGTGGCCGTGAGCAGGAATCGAACTCGGGGTCGCTGGGTTCATAGCGCAGCGTGCTAGCCGCTGCTCTGTTGCTCCACACACCTACCAATATACCAATACCCGCCATTCGCCACTAAGTGACAGTGATGTGACCACGACGCCTGTGCCAGGCCAGGTGTACTTTGAGGCCACGTGAAGTGTCGAAGGCTCGCTGACAGGAGGTCACGGGACAGACCCAGGTGCCGTGAGTTCGCTGACTGCGACGACTGGTAGATGCACTAGCTGTACCATGCCAACTTGCTGCATGCCATCTTACGCTCGCGCTGTCGCACGTTTGTCTCTCGCTGTGTTGGGTCTGTCAGGGCCTCTCTCCCAGGCTGGACTTCTCTGCCCGCGTTCTTGTCGTGGAGTCTCGCAGGGACGGCACACAGAGGGAAACGGGCTCAGCAGCGGTGAGCGGCACAAATGAGACGGCCGGAAACGGCGCAGCCTCTGACCGGCACTCTGATCCTACCTCGCCCCCCCCCCCCAATGCTTTTTGTAAAATATGATGAGAAAATAATCAAAAATAGTCGTGATAGGGGGAATGTTCTCACCTGGATAAATAATGGTAATTTATATATCGCGTTAACCATATGCAGCGATTGCTAAAAATGTGTTAAACTAATCCTGTAGTGATGCCGTGTCAGTTAGGATGGCTGCGTTCAGGTTGGCCTGTATGCAGGCCATGCTGTAACAATAATTATAATAAATTACTCATTTATCAAGGAAAACCACATTAAATCCAAGCAGGAGGGTCCGGCTACTCTGGGTTATTATTTCAAGATGTTTTCAGCCAAGTGACGCGGTGTTTATTACACGTGCGGGAGGTAACCGGAGCACCCGGTGGCAATCCACGCGCGCAGTTTGGGCAACACTCTATCCCCGTACAGAGGGAAACAGACGGGTAATGAGTCCCCTCCCTGTTCTGCCTTCTGCTGGTGAGCCAGGGTATGGCACCTCCTCTGCCCACTTCAAGGGAGTTTCACAACATCATCTCTGTGTGCGGTGATCCACCAACCGTCGCTGCTGGATTACAGGCAGCCACGTGCAGCAATAGCAACCACAACGCAAGCAGCCCTGTCTTAGACCACCAACCCAAAAGAGGCTAAATTGACCTTATTTTTTTTATTCTACTAGGTGAGGCCCACTGAGCTATGTAGCTCTTTTTCAGAAGCGACGTGGCCACAAATGATAGCTCAACGAAGTGGCTTATCATGTGGAAATTGATAGCAGCGAAATACTCTTAAACGCACGTTTCTAAATGTGGAGGGGAAAAACCAGAGGTCCCAGAGAAAGATCCACGCCACCACAGGGAGAACATGCAAATTCCAAACATACAGCAGGTGTTAGGGTCGGGATCGAACCCTCGTATACCGGGCGAGGTAGTCAACATCTTGACACCTTGGCAACCTTACCGTGACAATGGACGACTTAACAACACAAAGGCCCCCAATGCACGAGGCAACAGGAGGCAATGTAATTTTCGATTTAAAGCTTTCGTGACTGCAGAGATTCATCTTCTTGGTTCTTTCGGTAAAGTCACGTAGAAGGGAAATAATAAAATAATAAAAATCAAGCATAATAAAATACAATTCTCACAATGTGAGAATTGTATTTTATTATGTTTTATTTTTCACAATGTGAGAATTGTATTTTATTATGTTTTATGTTTATTATTTTATTATTTCCCTTCTACGTGAATTTACCGAAAGAACCAAGAAGAGGAGGCAATGTAGTGCTGATGATTCCTAACAAGGACAAAGCTGGTATACAGGCATCTTTTTTTTGTCCTGCCGATGTCTGAAATAATAAGGCGTCAAACTTTCACTCTTTTGAATTGGTGGTCCCCAACAAGGCTCTGCGTCCTACACACCGCTGGGATTCTGGGTTCAACTCCAGGTTTCAGCCACTGCTCGTAGTCAAACTCCAGTGCATCAAGTTGAACGTCTCGGCCTGGCCACTAATGACTGGGGGAAAACTACAAGCTTAACTTAATCTGTCACTTAATTCAGCTTCTATTCCATTTCCGAGAATTCAACATTTGAGCTTGACATGTGATGAACACCGTTTTACAGGTCGTATAAAACGTGTGACTAAAATCGACAGAGAGTCAAATTGAAGCGACTTCAGAAGTAGTTCTGTGGCGTCACCTTCCGGGAGCCATTCCTCCGAACACGGGATGTTACACTGATAGCCGTGAGAGAGTTCCGAATGGAATAGTTGCAAGCTTGCAATCACGATAACCCGGAGGTCGGTAACCTGCGGCTCCGGAGCCACATGCGGCTCTTCAACGACTGCTTCGTGACGTCATTTATTAAGGACCACCGTCTCGCATTCACGTGCATTGCGGCTCTTGCAAACATCAAGTAGTTTTCCCGATTTGAAGCTTTCGTGACTGCAAGAATTCATACTCTTAGGTTTTTTCGGTAAAGTCACGTAGGTAACAAATAATAAAAATAATATCAAAAATTATAGAAATAAAATAATAAATCTAGACGGAAGCTTGTGTTGCCTCCGAAACGTCGCGATTTATTATTTTATTTATATTATTTGTTCTATTATTTTTATTATTTACTTTTTTTATTTATTTTATACCAACGTGACTTTACCGAAAAACCTAAGAGTATAGTTTTCCCGAATTCGAAAAAAATGGCTCTTGTGATTTTTGGTTGCCGATCCCCGGTCTAACCCTAACCTGGCGCCCCTTAAAGGCACAGGACTGGTCGACAGGCCGCTCGTCGCCACCGCCGTCGTGGTCGTCACCAGCGGCGCCACCGAATCCCGGCACTCGGCGAGCGCAGAGCCCCGGTTACCGCGAGCCCACGGAGGCGTGGCGCGCTCGCTGCCCTTCTCCCTACACCGAGCGGCGGATGTGCGAGCGATCGGCCGGCTTCGGCAGCTGCCCAACGGGCGGCAGAGGAGCGGCGGGACGGGGAGGAGGAGGTGGAGGAGGAGGAAGCCAGAGGATGCCCCACCTGGGCCTCGGGCCGTGGCACTTTGCGTCGCCGCTCAGGGACCCACCCGCGTTCGTTGTGCGGCGAGTGAGTCGCGAACGGGGACAACTCACTCTGGAGGGGCAGGAGGGATGTGACTAGGGCCGTCAGGTACCTTTGGCGGCGACAAAGACAAAGATCCCCCGTATAGCCTTTCACATAACGATGGGATAAGTGCGGTTAGCGAGCACCTATGAAGGTCGACACCGACCTTGCTAAACTCGTGTCAACCGTGCAAACCTCCGATTAGCACGGTTGGCTACATACGGTGTGAAAGAAGTTCAACGTACCTACACCAGGCGATAGGTGACCAGCACCACGCCCGGGCGCTTTTGTGTTTCCGAGTTTGCGATGTTTATACACCGCACAAACTATTAATTCGAGGCTGATTCGACCTAGGGGATGCCCAGGACTGGTTCATATATTCTCAGGCTTTTATCGGCCGTGAGTGGGAATGGAACTCGTGTCGCCGGGTTGGTAGTGCAGCGTGCTAACCACTGCACAACCGCAGAGGAGAGGCCGTGCTATAACAATAATACATCCTTCATTTATCCGGGAAAGCCACACTGAATCCAAGCACCCTTTTTCAGGAGGGTACGGCTATGTTGGGTTTTTATTTTAAGATGTTTTCAGCCAGGTTTCAAGTTGTTTATTACACTTCTGTCACTTCGAGAGGGTTACAGGTCAAGTTGACCCGCTATCTGGCTTTGTGCTCACAACATGCAATTCCACTCGGTCGTATATTTAGCATCGAGGTAACCGGTCAGACATCAGCAATAAATCGCGCTCCAAACATTCAAATATCTGTACACACTCGACACGTTATCTTTCACTTTGAACAACCGAGAGATAAAAAAAAAAAGAGAGGCGTTGCACGTTAAAGAATGTCCGTCTCCAGCCGTATCGGTTTTTAGACCTCGGGGCAACGTAGTTAAAAGGTGACATCTGATTATGTAAAAACCCCTTGTTGTGTGCAGGTGGACGGTTTGGCAAAAACCACTCCGCCAAAGTCCCCCGCAGTGGAACGCGCGCTGCAAACTTCCCACTCCCCACGCTCGCAAATCCTGGACGGTACGGAATCTTATTTATTTTATATATTCGTGGAGCGCCTTTGACCAAAGCGCTTAACGTAATTAATAAAACTAAGGTATACACTAATTATATGAAGGGTGTGTGCAAGGCATGAATAATGTGTCACAGAGAGTCAGTAGGAGGTGTTGGGAAAGGGGAGGGGGGGAGAAATTGATGGGGGGGGGAGAATAGGCAACAGAGAAGAGGTGAGGCTTTGAGAGAGAAGCGGAACGAGGTTAAGGAGGGGGATTGCTTCACGTGATTTGTTTATCTTTTATGTTTAGGCTTGGATATTTTACACATTACATTACTTAAAGTGGTAATCTTTTAAAGTATTATTATCTAGGCATTTGAATCTGTAACTCCAGACATGGCTGCCAACTCTCTTGTTTTAGCATCTATTTAGCTTTGCCGTGTGCTTAGGGCTGTTAAACTTTGACGTGTAACAAAATATGCAAGCGCACAAAGAGGCGTGGAGAGGAGCACGCTTGCAGTTACACCGAGAGACAGAGGGAGGGACTCGTGGATCAGAGAGCAAATGCAAGTTAGCGATTGACTTATCGACTGTTAAGAAAAGTAAGCGGGCTTGGGGCAGGAGACGTCATGGCAAGAAGAGGCGACATTGGCCAGTGAGAACCACTGGTGCAAAGAACTATGAACTATTTTTGTTTATATTTTTTTATTTAAGGCTTTCCTGACTGCAGGGATTCATATTCTTGGTTCTTTCGGTAAAGTCACGTAGAATTTTTTTTTCAAAATTTCTTGCTGTGGATTTCACACCTGATGATGATTGCTTGTGTTGCAGTCGAAACGTCGTGAGAAATGTTATTGTTTATATTTATTATTTTATTATTTCCCTTCTACATGACTTTACTAATTTTTGTTTTACCACCAGGTAAGGCCCACTGAGATATATAGCACTTTTTCAGAAGCAACCTGGCCACAAATGATTGCTCAACAAAGTGGCTTATGTGGAAATTTATAGCAGCCAAATACTCTAAATGCGTGACGTTGATTCTAAATGTAGAGGGAAAAACCGGAGGAGCCGGAGAAAAATCCACGTGACCACAGGGAGAACATGCAAACTCCACAAATACAGGCGTCAGGGTTGGGATCGAACCCATGACCTTCCTGCATACCAGGAGAGGGAGTTAACATCTCCTAGCCACCGTGGTACCCCACAATTGAACAAAATCCTTAGAATCCTAAACAAAAACGTCTTCTTGAATAAAGACGGTCACTGCATCACGTGCTTTCAGATGTGCTTCTGCGGCTCTCTGGAATGCTCTTCCTATATTCGGAAGCCACTGAAGCTATGCACTTTTAAATCTAGATTTAAATCTCAATTCTCTAGAACAGATTGTTGTGTTTAGTTTGTTTTCCTTCCCCCGCACCTCTGATTAGCATGGTTGGCTATGTGCTGTGCGAAAGAAGTTCAATACATTATTCCGTCTCATTCGTGCTGTTAGCCTTAAAAGCAGCGTTCGAATATCGTTTTCATAAATCGTGAATCATTCTCACATTTGCCTATCTTTACACGTGTGTCATGAGCGCGAGAATTCAATTTGATCGATTTGTTGACGAAGTCCCAATCGTGCTCACTGGACGCCGTTGTTGTGAAAAGCCTTCCCGGCAAGCGGATCGTTGGTCCAATCGTTAGTTTTTTTTCGTTACACGTTTCGTCGTTTCGTCACTAATTTTTGTCGCAACGTGCTGTTTGTTTACTCTTCTGCTGCTGCAGACACTTCCCTCCGTGGCAGCTACAGACCGAGTCGAGACGCGTCTCAGGTAACGAAAATCCTCCCAATGAGCAGGCCCTCTCTGCAGGGGGGGGGGGGGGGCAGCACAGCAAGTAGGCTCTCACTTACTTGCAGTGCCGTTAGCCTTTGTCACTCCTGCTGCATGTGCGGCGGAGCGGTGGCGCAGTGGTTAGTGCGCTGCCGCCGTGAACCCGGCCAACCGAGTTCGATTCCCAGCCAAGGCTAGCGTGAGCGGAGGATAATACCTGACACGGTGATGGCTCCTCGTTCACCCACCTGCCGTTCTCCTTCCTACGGCTGGTGTTGATGTACAGTAGGGGTGGGGAACGTCCGGCCTGCGAGCCGTATAAGGCCCGCGAAATCATTTGACCAACACAGTGAGGAGGCCTGCATATAGCACCACGGTGGCGAGGAGATGTTAACTACCTCGCCTGGTACGCAGCAGGTCGTGGGTTCAATCCCAACCCTGACGCCTGCTGTATATTTTGAGTTTGCATGTCTCTCTCCCCGTGGTCGTGTGGATTTTTCTCCCGGGTCCTCCGGTTTTTCCTCCACATTCAAAATCGACGTTCGTTTAGAGTATTGGGCTGCTATAAATTTCCACATGATAAGCCACTCATTTGTGGCCAGGTCACTTTACAAAAAGAGCTACATAGCTCAGTGGGCCTTACCTGGTGGTAAAAAAATAATAATATATAGTTCTGAGTTGAGCTATTTGTGGCCAGGTCGCTTCTGAAAAATCAAAAGTTCAGTTGAACCTGGATAGACACCGGGCCGATCGTCCCTCCGTGCTAGAAGACCGGTCCGTGACGTGACGTGTCCCGCGCTTGCAGAGTGAGGGCCGGCGGCGCCGTCCGGAGGCGGCGGCGGCCGCGAGGGTCTCGTGGGGCCGGACCCCGACGAGGGGACGGGGGCAGGAGGAGGGCGGCGGTGGTGGCGGCGAGGTGCGGGGGGGTTCCCTCCGGACGCCACGGGGACACCGCGATCCCCACACGGCGGACAGCAGGTGGGCATCGTCCGTACTCGCCCGTTCGTCGTTGTTCAGCAGCAGATGTACGGTGGATGCCACAGAAGCCCGTGGCTCATAGTGTTTGTCCCGTATATGTGTACGTTAAACTTCTTTCATCCCGTATGTAGCGAACAGTGCTAATCGGAGGTGCTAAATGGAGGTACTGAACATTTTTCGTATTCACTCACGGGAATGGGATGATGCTGCCACGACGGTGTAGCGGTCAGCACGCTTGCACTTGCAATCCAGAGGTCGACGGGTTTTGAGCTCCCAGGCCGCCGTTGAATCAATGGGACAAGTTGGTTTTAAATTCCACCTCTGTCCACCCAACTGGTATGAATCAGTTCGCCACCGCGGTCAGTCGGTGGTGGGGTAAAGTGTGGGTACTCTCGCCTCTTCCGAAACGTCTGGCCGGCGTGGAAGAGGAGGCCACAAATGACCCCCTGGAGCTGATCTCATTAGCGGCATCTAGTGGCGGTCCAGCACGGGTGTGGAACTTTATCACAGTAATAGTTTTTTTTGTTATTATATATAGACCTTGGCCAGGGGGTCAGCAACAAAACATAACAAGATCCATTTTTTTTTTCGAATTCGGTACAAAACTCAATATTTCAAGAGCCGCAATGCACGTGAATACTGTACATACGGTACATACGGTACATGCAGGTACGCCACGAAGCAATCCGTGAAGAGCCGCATGCGGCTCCGGAGCTGCAGGTCGCTGACCCTTAACCTCTGACCTCGGCTGACTGAGAAACGTATCCGGCTGTTGTTTATAGTGGAAGAGGTGGTAACACTCAGTATCGGGAAGTAATTGCATCGACACTCGGGTCATCGTGAACGGCATCATCATCATCGTCAAGATCCACATCACTGTTCATAGGTTTACCCAAGTATCACCTTGCAAATAGGCAATGAATCTCAAATGTCCTTAGCTGATGAAAAAGAGCCTCCGTTTCACATTGAGCACTATTCACGTTTGCCCACTAGAGGGCAAACTTCCTATTCTTACCGCATTGTATATGCTTTTATGGAGCCAATTATGATTACACATTCCTGCGGAGGGAGCTGGTAGGAACGTTGGGTTGCTCGGTCAATGGCCAGGGTCAACGGCGGCGTGGTGTATTCCGCAAATATGGCCGACTGTGAGGGCGGGCACAAGCCGGCGTGAGTAGGTTAAACGTTGAGTTTGATAAGGGCACCACGGGGTGACCAGCCCCTCTCCACCCAGCTCCACCCCTCCCACCCCCCCACCCAGCCCCACCCTCCCCACCCAGCCCCACCCCTCCCACCCCCCACCCAGCACCACCCTCCCCACCCAGCCCCTCCCCACCCTCCCCTCCCCACCCAGCCCCTCCCCACCCTCCCCTCTCCACCCAGCCCCACCCTCCCCTCCCCACCCAGCCCCTCCCCACCCAGCCCCTTCCCACCCTCCCCTCTCCACCCAGCCCCACCCCTCCCATTTTCGGTTTCACAACGGACGGACACAATAATCCCCTGTGGGCTGGTGTAACCAGGAGGTTCCTACCACTACTACAGGCATGATTATAAACACGTGTTCGCTGGCGGCAAGTGCAGGTAGCGGAGCACCTATTAAGACCAGCACAGCATATGAGGGTTGGTGCGATCACCACCCTGTCACAAAACCTTTGTCTCCCTCGTGCTGAAAAGCCGCACCGTGTATTGACGGCTGAGCGAACCTAGGGGAGGACCACCACGACAGGTCCACATTAGCACTTGCCACAAGTCCTCCTGTGCTTGGGAATTGGACGTACGTCGCCAGGATTGTAGTGAAGTGCGCTAACCGCTGCACCACCACTCTATAAGTCGATACGCCAGCTGGAGCAGGAGGCATCAAGTTTCAGGATCGGCATTTTCGGTCATCACAGGAGAAGTTCAAAGAATTTAAATCCTCCAAAAAAAGTGGAAGCTGAAAACCCGTAGTCTTCCACTGACGAAAGGATTTCACGGATGAGGTTGGACCCACGCCTGGCGTTGCGCATTTTTGTAGCCAATGGCTGGAAGGATTTTCTGACTTTGTTTTTTTGTTTTGCTATTGAAACAAAACGCAGGCCCGTTACAGCTCATCGCGAGACTCTATCGACCCGACATTTTACGCGGGATACTCCCAATGCAGCTGTACCATCTGATAGGTGGGGGGGGGGGGGGGCGTGGGGAGTGGGGGCGGGAGGGTAGCCTAAGGGTAGGAGGGGGCCCACCGTCCCAGTCGGTAGGGATCATCGCAGAGGGGAGAGGATGTGCGTCTAAAAAGGAGAGGGGGAGCAGGGGGGGGGGGGAAAGAATTGTCTGACTCTTAAGAGCGAACTCGCAGTGTCTTTTTTTGCAACGTGACGATATTTCAGCCCTGTTCTTGAGCCCGCGTCTTAAAACACCGAGACGTGCTTCCACAACGTCTCCGATTCAGCGCGCCGTCACGCTGTGTCAGCGTGGGACCAGATTTACACGACAGAAGTTGAGTCACTTGCAGTGTTCTCAAATCGAATTTCTTATCTTGTTGTATGTTTATAGAGCACCTTTTCTCTCGGCACTGTTCATCCATGCGGTCGGTGTTCCTTGTCATGTGGTCCAGTGCTTGTCAGTCATCTGATTTTTTAAAAGACTTTGACTTCAGAGCCGAATGAGTCTGAATCAAGTACGTGAACAAATGTTCTGTTCTGTTCTTGTTAATGGCAATATGTTCAGGAGCTAATTGCCAATGTCCAGGTCTTGTTTGTATTGTTTGACCGGGCTTGGACCATCAACTCACAGTTTGTTGCCCCCCCCCCCGATCTCCGATCTCCGATTAGCACGGTTGGCTACGTACGGTGCGAAAGAAGTTCAACATACATACGAGAAATCTGGTGGCGAGATGTTAACTGCCTCGCCTGATATACAGGAGGTCGTGGGTTCGATCCCAACCCTGACGACTGGTGTATATTTGGAGTTTGCGTGTTCGCTCTCCGTGGTTGCGTGGATTTTTCTCCCAGTCCTCCGGTTTTTACTTCCACATTTAGAATCGACGTGCGTTCAGAGTGGTTGGCTGCTATAAATTTCCACGTGATAAGCCACTTCGTTGAGCCACCATTTGTGATAGCCAGGTCGCGTCTGAAAGAGAGTAACATAGCCCAGTGAGCTCTACTTGTTAAAAACAAATAAGTTGAGTTTAAACCACCCAGCCTCCTCAGTCTTGACCCCTGTGCAGAGCATTTCTATGGCTTTCTCATGCAACTGTCAATCATTAATGGGACGTCCGTCCGAAACGCGTCGAGCAAGCGCGCTAAATCCCGTGGTCTACCATTAAATGAAAAAAATTGAAGGGGGAAATTTTTTATTTTATTTACTACCTACTTTTCTCGTGATATTCGTTGCGTGCGGTTGCACTTTATTTTGCGCGCGATTGCAATTTACTCGGTCGGCGTTCGCCACTGAGGTCGTGACGGGTTTCGTTTTTTTATCCCTGTTAGCTCTACGCCCTCCCGTACAGTTCCCATCCTGCTGTAACGCTCACCGACGCTCACTTTCTTGAGGGCGATATTGGCACGTAAAATGCAGATCGATTGATCGATTGGTAATGTTTTGCTAACAGACACCGAGCAAAGTTAACACAGTTCATCATGGGTCAATACCTACAATAAGTCTCCGTCGAGCCCTCATTTGGTACAAGTCAAGCTGTCTTGCTGTCAATCATTAATTCCTCATTGCCACACCAAGGTTCCCTCCACCTATCATTGTTGTGCCTCATTCCCATGACCCCCACAACTACAATGATTTATTTGGCAATTGCTTTTAAGCTTTAAGTCTTCAGCTTTAAGACGATTATCTGAGCCGGTCCTCAGCCTCCCCTAGGTCGACTCGGCCTAAAATGAGTACCTTGTGCGATGCGTAAACATCGCCCCGAGGGAGACAAAGGCAGACGGGCGTGGTGCTGGCCACTCACCCCCTCGTGTGCCCTCCCGGCCGTCATCGCTGCTCGATAACAGCACTTGCCCCAACAGTCTGTTAAGGATATACGGTGGATCTTTGTCTTTGTCCCTCCCTCTCTTCACGCCTCCCCAGCTGCCGATGCGATCCCTCGTGGAGCATCGATTCGTGGGAGCTCGTGCACAAGCGCGTGAAGGGGCTGCTGAAATCCAACAGAGCTCGCCGCACACTGCACTTCGTGAGTCGCTCCCTCCCTCCACCACCACCATCACACACCTCTCCCTTCCCATTGTCCCCATCACCTTCCCACATGTTCCTTTAGTTTTAGGGTTGGTGGCTCACACAGATGTTGCGAATAGTTTACGTTCAACATGCATAGGAAACGTTTTTTCCATAACGTAGGTTTTTTGGGTTAGATGGCGTAAATATAAAAATGTGTCGTGAAACCCGCCACCACCCGACACAGCCAATTAGTAAGGTTTGTCACGTAAACAGAACATGCCAATTCGTTACTAGTACAGCACACCGGTGCCATGTTACAAGTCTAAACTATTATTATATAGGATTAACGAGTATTTCTACTGAAATGAGCTATAGGGGGTGGGTACACTCACCTTCAATCCGGTAGAGGAAATTGCACATTCCTGTGTTGGGGCATAGTATATCCAATGGACAACCATTGGTAAAATGCTGCTAGATAATGCTGGTTTCTGAAACACTTGAGGCCCAGAATCAAACCCAGAATATTAGCGGTACTGGCTCGGAGCTTTTGACATGGACATCTGTGGAAAAGTGCTCATCAGATTCCTCCAGTATAAATAAAGATTCTGATTATGTTTTCTAGATTTGAAGCTTTCGTGACTGCAAGGATTCATACTCTTAGGTGACTTTACCGAAAAACCTAAGAGTATGATTCTGATTATGAGCATCCCACTTTCATTGGGAAAGATGTTAACCGGTAAGGCTCTTCCTAAATAAATTTGAGCTGCACAATATCTTGTTCAAAGGAACGTATTTCGACTCAAAACCAGACCTTTGTCATTCGTGACGCGGGTAACGCTCCCTTCGACCCTGAACGGCGAAATTTCTTTGTAAAACCTTGCGACTGGTTCCCTTTGTGCCCCACCGCTAACTTTTACGTCAAGGCCACAACTGCCTTTGATGTCACCACACCTCGCCACAGCTTTCTTTTGCCAGATGTTTGCAGCTGTTGCACAGTCGACACTTGGACCTTCAAGGACTGCCGTTACAAAGAGCCCCCATATAACCTTACCGACTGTTGCACGCGTGCATGTTGAACTTCTGTTGCAGCGTACGTGGCCAACCGTGATGATCGGAGGTGCTAATCAGACTTGGGGCAAGTGCTGTTAGCGAGCACTTGTGAAAAACCAGCACTGCACACGAGGGGTTGGGTGGCCAACACCACGCCCGGCCACCTTTGTCTCCCCAGTAGCAATGTTTGCACATTGCAGCTGATCCTCGTCATGTGGATGGGGAATGTCCACCACTGGCTTAAGGGCCACCACCCCAAGCTCTTTTTGTTTTACTGGAGACACTCTGCGACTTTGACTTTTGCAAGGGTGCTAATAGTGTTTCATATGTTTCCTATTGAAAGGGCTCGGGTGGAGAGGATGACGAGGTGGGGGAGGAGAAGAGCCATTGCGTGGGATCAGCTGCGCGGGCACTCCACAGACTCTCGCTTGCAAGAAGCAGCAGGTGACGTTTTACGTTTCCTCTTGTTGTGTTGTCACCCACGACTGGGGCCCGAATTCGGACATTTAGCAACGGCACTGCTGTGTGGCTCAGTGCCCGTGTTAACATTACATCTATTTTGTACGGGAGGTTTATTGACAATCACCCGGAATACGCCCGATCTCATATCTTCACTCCTCTCTCTCTCTCACGACTCTCTCTCCCTGCCTCACTCTTTCCCTGCCTCACTCATTCCCCTCTCTCCCGGTACTCACTCCTCTCTCCTTACCGCCCTTTTCCCATCGTCGTCATCTTCAGCGGTGGTGCCGACTCGTCGGAGGCGAAGGCTGCGTCCGCCACCGGCTGCGATGGCGCCGAGTGGCTCGAGCTGTGGCGGTCGCGTGCCAATTCGCTGCGAGCTGCGGAGCCTCACCGCGCCTCGCTCCACCAGGAGATGGGGCGCGTTTACCGCGATCTTTACCGTGACGCGAAGGCCGGGCCTGTGACGGCGGCGGCCGCTTCGATGTGATGGAGCGAGCGGCGAGGACGAAGACACGGGGGGGACCTCCCCAACCGAACCGGCAACAAGACGGATCCTGTAGCCGTATCGTGGTGCCACCACCGGGGCTTCGTAGCAGCTGGGTTGGTGACCCAGTAAAATATTTCCGCACATGGCACACCACATTCAGAATACCTCTCTGTATGGGCTGCTGCTATTAGTCCGCTACAAATACTCGGTAAAACATTTTATTTGTATATATCTTTTTTTTATTTTAATCTTCACTGCGTCGATGACCGTGGCACTTTTGTCTGGGAGTGGTGGTGGTGGTGGTGGCGTCGGTATGCCTCCAATCCAGCACATGGGGAGGCAAGGGTAAGTGGATCTCGTAAAGATCTGTCAAACTAACCAAACCCGGTGAGGCTGTAAGGTGGTCTGATAGCAGGACAGCAAGTGGAGTTTGTGAAGACCTCCGTGCATACCTTTGAGTATTAACCCATTCCTCCCCTGGCACCATTATGCGAGTGCTTTTTTCAACAACTATTTCTTCCCACAACGTGCCACAGTATTTAAAATTAATTGGATAAACATTCCAATGTAGGACCATCCTGAAAAAGTCTCAACTCGGTGAGGCTCTCTCGGATACAAATTTTCACAATTAAGTATTCAAGATCACATTATCTCAATGCCACTGTGCCACCACGTGCTTTCTAATTTACTCACCGTTTCACGGTACCTTTGCCAACCCATTTCTTCCGCACGACTCGGTGCCGACCGCCTCCGTGTACCTGTATTCGATACTCGCCTGGCCTCGATGTTTACCTGCACGTCCGTCCTTAATTTACGCGGTCCCAACAACCACACGCACAGAACGCCTCCAATGACCCGGTCTCAAAGCTGGGCATCTCTTTCGCTCTCCCGTTCCACCCCACAGCTCTGTTCGCAACTCTCCTGATTGCCACTGGTTTGTTGCACAAAAGAAAGCCGAGTGGCCTCGTTCGGTTGTTTGCAAAGTGTAAACGAAGGTAAACCGTTAAGGTGTTTTATCCAAACCATCCACATACTTTTCCCCTCTCATGCACTCTCCAGCATTCAAAGCCTCTTACCCATCTCCGAACACCTCTCCGCCACTCGCCCAACAACGCTACTCACCAACAGCCCTGCTCACACATTGACACCATGCACCAAACACACAGTACCAGGACCAAGCACACGGTCGGCTTGTGGGCTATTTCCAACAATGCAAGAGGCTTTTAAAGAACCAAAAGAGAGAATATTTGAAGCGCACAGATATAAATGCATTCCGACCAAAGTGTTACGTGTCGTCAGAAAGGTGTTAATGTTGTGTGCAAGTACAATTGCCGAAAATTAACGAGCACTTGTAAGCCTTTTTATGTTATTTCAACGGGGCGTTTATTAAAAATATTTTTCCCTTCCCCTTGTAATCCTCGTTGAGACTAACGGCTACGTTGTTGGCGGCCGTCGTCACGGCACACGAGGCAGGATGGGGGGGCGGGCAAGCCGACGGACGCTACACACACAAGATGTTTTATGGAAATCTGCGAATGATGAGAAAAAACCCGATCGCAACAGAATAGCAATTTTGTTGCCACGCTGCTCACGCTTACGCAAGCGCGGCACACGGAGCGACGATGTTTTACTGCCGCACGTTAACAACACAACAGCCGAGCACAGCCGCGCATTATTAGCCGTCGCCTCTTGTCTCTAGGTTTCCTTTAATCGGTCTCTAAAACATTAACGGCTCGGTTTATTAAAGCAGAGTGGGGGGCTTATCTCGTTTACTGCGTAGATGACTTTGACACTCACTTGTGTTTTAAGAGGCTCGTGAGCACGTGTAGTTGGAGAAAAGCTGAGAGGGCAGGAAAATGTACATTTCACTTTCATGACACAATTATCTACAAAGATTGTGTGGAAACAAACACTTTGCGAACGATGCAAGAGACAAACCAAATTGGCAATTGCCTTTCCCATTTTCCCTAATTGCTTTGAGTTTTGTTATTTCAATGCTGATCAAGACAGGATTACGTTTACATCTTGCGGTGGGGAGATGTCTAGTTTAACAAGGCTTTCACGAGACATTATCCATAAGAGGTTTTTTGGCTAATATTGCGCAAATGTGAACACTCCGGTGTGCTGAAGCACTCATTGGAATGTTTTATTTACGTGACAAACTTTACTAATTGGCTGTGTCAGACTGTGGCGGGATTAACGACACATTTATATTTACGCAATCTAACCCAAACAAAACCTCTTGTGTTTGTTGTCCTTCCCCCGCACCTCCGATTGGCACGGTTGGCTACTTTACGGTTTCGAAAGAAGTTCAATATACATACATACGTACGGGCGACGAACAGGAGGTGCGCAATCGACTGAAGCTCCTGTCAATAGCGGTTAGAGGTGATCGACAACGTGAGGTGGCACTGCCGTGGGAGATCGCAGTTGCGCTGTACAGGCCCCATCCGATGTGCAGTTCGGGTTTGTTACCGCCAGTTGTTCGACTTGACGTCCGACGTTCAGCCCGTGGAGCGAAACGTCGGGACATCGCGCCGTACAACACGCGGCACAGCCCGGACACGCATCGGAGAGCTGAACTTGGTTGATCGAATACAGCAGCAGCCTCCGCAGACTCCGGGGGAGGGGGGGCGATTGCCCGGGGCCGCCAGCGTCACTTCTTCCTCCAGAACTTGCTGTAGGTGTCCGTGTGGAGCTCATCGCCCAGGTCGTCCTCTGCGCTCGACTTTGGCCGTTCCTTACGGCCTCCGCGTGCCCGCAGTCGCGCCAGCTTCTCCTCCTCGCTCAGCGCGTCCAGGTCCACGGGAAGCTGTGCAGGGCACGGCACAGAGGGGCAAGGCAGGGCACGGTGCTCGCATCAGTGACGGTGGAAGAGGCTGCGGTCTCGTGCTTTAGGAAGAAGGAACCGTGCTCGTGAATGGACGCACGCTTGCAACTCCAGTTAACGGATGCAATCTGACAAAGCGGGGCGTGGAGAGGGGGGGGGTTTGGGTGGCCGTTTCACTGAGCTCCCCCGGAGCGGCAGGGGTCATAATGCAACGATGTGATGGAAGAATTAAGATTGTGCACGATGGTTGCAGTGCTTGGATGGTGGTTGATGGCAATACAAAACAACTTGCGTTTATAAAACATGCAAATGCGATGCGACCGCAACTCTTTGTCTAAAATAGCTTATTTAATATTCATACAAATTGTATGCATATGCCGTCTTTTGGCTAATGTCGGGTACCACGAAGTTTTTTTTATTTACGGCAGATGTATTATTGTGCTAAAGAATATACTGAATATTTAAATATTTAACTTGTAATATGTAGTGGTAGTAATAATAATGTACAGCACCTTGGAAATTAACTGCTGGATGAGCACTTCCCCTACTACCTTGTGATGGCAGCAGGGGTTATTTGAGCATACCTCCTCGTCAGCACAGGCTGGTGAAGGTGCCGGACCAAAGGCTAGTTTGAGATATCGCTCACCACTGATATTATAATGGACAGATTTACACAGCGAACCATGCTAATTAGAGCCATGAAAGATTTGAGATTTAGATGAGTACACGTATTCAGAAGAGCACAAGACGGAGCTAAGATAGAGATCTATTCAGAAGAGAGACATCACAGAGAAACAGGACAGTGATTCATACTTTAATTTTGGGTGGGATCAATTAATAAAGTTGTCACGTGAACAAACGTGCCAATTTTTTGCAAATAAAAGCTAGGAAAGAGAGCTCGGTTACCTGCCCCACCAAATAAAACCACCTTATCAACTCAAATATAAACTAAACTTTTTATTTTACCAGGTAAGGCAGACTGAGCTATATAGCTATTTTCAGGAGTGGCCTGGCCACAAATGAAGTGTACGTATGTTGAACTTCTTTCGCATTCCTTATGTCGACATTTTTAACAGCCAAATACTCGAAACACACGTTTCTAAATATGGAGGAAAAAACCGGAGGATGCAGATAAATATCCACACAACCACGGGGAGAACATTGCAAACTCCAAATATGCAGCAGGCGTCAGGGTCGGGATCGAACCCACGACCACCTGTATACCAGGCGAGGTTGTGAGCATCTCGCCACCGTGGTGTCTTTGTGGTGAAAAAAGGATTGGAGGTGCATGTCTGTAATCCAGCGCTCTTAGAGGCAAGCAATATTGATGGAATTTCCCACAAAGACATTCGGTTCCATCCCACACTTGGATCATTAACAGTTATTTTTTTTCATTTTAGGGTTAGGACTTAAAAAACACTGAGACGTAGCTGGACAACCAAAAAAGGGTGAAGAGTCTGTCTTGACAGGGTCACAGCAACTGTGTGGTAATTTTTACTACTCAAAGCAGTATTTCACAGCTATGAAAATCTTAACTATTTTACCAGCAGACTTTAACCCAAAGTCTAACCTCCATGTCAGTGCATTTCTCGACGACTTTATTATTTTCTCTCCACAGCAATGTGGTCACCCAAATGGTCTGTAAATCAATTACCAGAATTCCAGTGAAGTTAATCAAAGTTCACACCTGTCTAGAATATTATATTAAACCAGGACACTTTGACAATGTGCATTGACATTTTACTCAGAGGGCAACATCACCTGCACAAAGACCGTTGTGCCATTAAACAATCAAACGACAGTAAAGTCCCATTATCCCCTGAACTTGGGCATAAGATCTTAACATGTGACCCAGCGGTCCAGAGGCACACATTTTTTAAGCGACAGCGCTGCCGTGTTGTTGTTGTTTCATTTGAATCTCTCGAACACTCCGAATGGTTTCGCAACGTTCTGTAAAGAATGTTCCTTGACTGCACGCCAAGGCACACCTCTTTGATGGCCAGCTGGGTCACGGCGCGCATGGCAACGGAGGGCTACCGCTCATGTTGACTGAACGCGTGAACCCGAGACTACTACCGCGACATGCGGTGAAGTGAAGTGCTCCTTGGTAAAAAAAACGCACTCAACTCAATTGAAATGTGAGGTCAAATCCTTGTTAGCTGTTGGCTTGGTCCATCATGCCTCCAGGGTTGATAAAAAAAAAAAATTCATACCACTGTGGTCATGCCTTAAAAGAAACTGGCCACCGTTCGGGGAAAATTCTGGAATTTTGGTCACTGGCTTGAGGCCACCATTGCATTGTACAGTCTGTTCTCCTATAACGCGGTATTTCGCTAGTTGCGTTCCTGAAGAACATCACGTTTTGGAAAATCGCGTTATAATATAGGGTAAAGCGCAGTTCGCGATAACACGTGTGATGCGTAACGCAGGCTGAACAAAGATTGAGGCGCGTGGGTAGCACCCAGAATCATCCAGCAGCATCCCGCTTTGTGTGATGCTACGCAGAGGCAGCCGTTCTACCGCTTATTCCTACTTGCCTATTCCTACTAGTTCCATTCACTCGATCAGGTTGTAAAGAATTAGTATCTGCGTTATAAAAAATGTGTTCCCTCATATATTCATCGCGTTATATCCAATTCGCGTTCTGAAAACACGCAGCATTATAGGAGAACGGACTGTATATTTGAACGGCAAGACAATTTAGACTTTTTCGTTCTCACGATCACGTCTCCGTACCATAATGATTTTCTTGGGCTCCGTGTAGCGGATCCGTACAGTGGAGCCGTCCGGTCGAGCCAGCAGCAGCGTGTACGGCCGCGGATACACGTTCCTCGCCGTTCGCACCACGGACGCTCGGTTCGAGTTGAAACGCCGCGATGAGGACGGCAACAACGGCCTCGGCAGTAGACAACACCTGAGGGGTTTGAAAGAACAAAGCGCATGCACATGGTCATACGTGAGAGGCGAGATTTCTCGTCTAGCTGTGAAGGTGCAGGTGTTGTTAGTGAGCACATTTTAAGGTCGGTACGGCACTCCAGGACAAGCTACCTTTGTCTCCCCAGTGGTAATGTTGTTTTACAGACCATCCCAGGCAGACATGGGGTCAGTTATACTGGTATGAACCTCCTAGTTACACCAGCCCACAGGGGATTATTGTGTCCATCGTGCAGGGAGGGGCTGGGTGGGGAGGGGAGGGGCTGGGTGGGGGGTGGGAGGGGTGGGGCTGGGTGGGGAGGGGCTGGTCACCCCGTGGTGCCCTTAAAAAAACTCAATGTTTAAACTACTCACGCCGACTTGTGCCCGCCCTCACAGTCGGGCATATTTGCGGAATACACCACGCCGCCGTTGACCCTGGCCATTGATGAGCAACCCAACGTTCCTACCAGCTCCCTCCGCAGGAATGTGTTAATTACACCAGCATTGTTGGATGCAATTAAAATGACATCGCCATTACAATTCGCTGTGAATTACATAATTACAACTGTAACTGATCCCAGCACTGACTCCTGGTAAGCATTTAAGACAACCTAAGAGAGGTCCAGATATCACTGGCCACTGACTTCCCTGGTCAAGAATCGAGCCAAGGTTTCTGAGATCGCAGAGCAGTGCGCGATCACTGCTTCACCAACACCAGTCTTTTTCTTTCGTGCAAGCAGGATGGAAAATCCGAGTTTTGAAATGTATTTGAGTTGAATGCTACGTTTTTTTCCAATAATCCAAGGAGGCGGTAGACGCTCTATGGATCGCATACACTAAGAAATTGTTGTTTTCTACTCCCGGTGCCTGCGCATACCAACATTAAATACCATTTCAACACAGAATTGTGTTGTCTTTATTAACATCTTTGAATTGTGCTATCGGTGTCAAGTTGTGAGACAAAGACCGTTACGTGTGAAACTCCGGAAGAACACGCCACCTTCCCCAATATCTGCCCCTCCACTTCGTAAGGGGCCATCCATTGAGTAGGTACGCAAAAATCTGTCAAAACGTGACCCCCCCCTCCCCCCCTCCCTGTACGGACGCGAACTTTTACCCCCCCCCCCCCACCTGCGTACGTACCATTGTCGCACCCCCCCGAATCCTATAGAACGGTCAATATTGAATCCACGCAGAAACGATCAAGAATTAATAATATTAACGTGTTTAAGCAAACAGTCTACCGCCGGCTGCATAAAGAATTAAGTTGCATTCCTTAAAAAGTTTGTCTGCTGTCGGCTAGGTTCAAACGCCGACTGAACCCAGTCGAACAGGTGACGCATTAGCGGGATGTCAACAGGCGCAGTGTCAGTCTGAAGCACAGCAGCGTGACAGCTGCAGTCAGGGGCACAGAAGTGACACCTCTCCCACAGTCCCACTTCTCCCGGCAGTGCTTGTTGTCTGACAGCTGAAGAAACTGAACTGTGGCTCATTTGAAGGCCAATGTAGACAAATTATTATCGAGGCTTCACCCCCCCCCCCTCCCCCGTTTCATTGTCAGTAGACTCCCATACACAAGCGTACGCATGTAGGCTAACCCCCCCTCACCCCGCCATGCGTACGTACTAAATGGATAGCCCCTAAACGTATCCTCTCCACATCAAAATCAACCACACTCACAACCTTTCTGGGCGCGCATTTCAGCCAATGTGTGTTCAACAAGCAAACGCTGGACCGCTTTCTGCATCGGGTGTCTCGTCAGCAGTCAGGCTCGGCTCATCATTGATCTCGGGATCAGATCGCATGAATGAAATGTGTGTCGTAGACCCTATGCCGTGAACAGATGTCAATTAAGAAATATTGGTCGCGAAAGCCTACGTTGGTTCAATTTGAATGTAGAGTCAGTGCTTGTTTGAACCAATCAACGCCGGTGACTTGCCTTTGTACAAGGTGCTGTATTTACTCAGTCGCCGTCCCCCTATAACAGTGACACGTGGCACGGTTGAGGGCAATGACATTGACCCGCGTGGCGTGGGGAGAGGCCCTCATCCAGCAGTGGATCGACCATGGAACTTGCATGCACACACCCATTACCAGTGCAAGTATCACGCTTTGGCGTTCGCCAAACCTGAAGTGTCCTACATCGCATGAATCTCTCCGGTAAAAAAGATAAGAGATTGCGTCCCAATGAATTTTGTGCGGCTTTAAACGTGAACGTGCAATGTGGTGGATGGTGGGGCAGGGCTTAGCGTGGCGCTCACCAACCCGGACACACGAGGAGTTCAATTCCCGGCTAACATCAGTGGCGAGTGATACGAAAAGCACATCTGGCCCACCCCCTTTCACAACCCCTACGGCCGACACGGCGTGGGGAAGCCTTCATCCTAGATTTGAAGCTTTCGTGACTGCAAGGATTCATATTCTTAGGTTTTTTCGGTAAAGTCACGTAGGTAAAACATCAAAATTAATAAAAAATAAAATAAAGATCACGATCACGACGTTTCGGAGACTTGTGTTGCCTCCGAAACGTCGTGATCTTTATTTTATTTTATTAATTTTGATGTTTTACCTCCGTGACTTTACCGAAAAAACCTAAGAATATGAAGCCTTCATCCGGCAGCTGATTTGTGTAGCATTGAATAAATACTGTACCGCACGACTCAACATGACATTCACGTCAGTATAAACATAGTACAAAACATCGCGTTATTTGTGTTAAATCAGAGTTTTAGATATCGCCTATTTGGCTCAACTGCAAACTTGTCTTCAGTTTCGTTCTCTTTTAATTTTCTAAAATTTCCCGATTCCGACCGGCTCGACGTGCCCGGCTCGGCCGTCATAGGGCACGCCCTGACCCGGCTAAGAATCTATCCGAGAGCCGGTGACTCCCAGAGGCCTAAGCCCGGTTGACCGGCGGCAAATGTTCGTTGAGCGAAACGAAGAGGAAAAATAAAACGTAACCGCGATTGCAGCTCGCCTCACCTCGCGGACGAGGAGGCGACTCTGGCGAGAGGGGCGAGAGGCTTTAACAATCCTAACAGAGGGACAAACATCGCTGGTTTGCGTTCTACTCTGCCCGCGAGGCAGAGTTCGGTGTGTTAGAGGTCAGGGTGACGTCATGTCACCCAAGCGCTAAGTCTCAACGTCACGTCCGCCACCAAAGTTTTGCGATTAAAATATTAAAACCTTTTAGTTTTTTGGCAGTATCAAAATGATGAAACAGTAAGAATTTGTTTTACTCTTGTTCGAACATCAAATAGATTTTTTTTTTATTTGACCAGGTAAGGGGCCGTCCATAAATGACGTCACGCGATTTTGGACGATTTTTGACCCCCCCCCCTAGTCACATGACGTCACAAAAAGTCAGACACCCCCCCCCCCTCAAATATGACGTCACAAAGCTCTGCCCCCCCCAAAAAACCATGCTTCAAATCGCTTTAAACTATTGTCTTTGTAGTGTGTATTTAATGTGGAGAAAACATTTATTAAAATGTATATTTAATGCGCGTATTTAATGTGGCGCTGCACTCTGATATTGTAGCAGAAAACATTTATATGTAAAAAAAAAAGTCTATTTAATTAAGTAGAACGTGTTGTCTATATTTATCGAAAGTTGCGATTTTTTTATGTGACGTCACATTTCTCACCCCCCCCCCCTTCGTCACACATCGTCACAAATGTCTAACCCCCTCCCCTCTCTAAGGTGCGTGACGTCATTTATGGACGGCCCCTAAGGCCCCACTGAGCTCATTTTTCAGAAGCGAGCTGGCCACGAATGCCAGTTTCGGCAAAGTGACATTCACCGCAGCCAAGCACTCGAACCGCGTGATCGTCTTCTTCATTCTCTCCCGATACTTTCCATTGGCTACCACATTCTGATGAGCCCCCCCTCTCCTCCCCCCTCAACTCGCTTTTAAGGGATTACATCTTGAATCATTGCCTCACTTGATGCAGCTGATCTGGCTGCGACTGTCCCACCTGATGACGGAGACTTGTGTTGCCTCCGAAACGTCGTGATCTTTATTTTTATTTTATTATTTTATTAATTTTGATGTTTTACCTACGTGACTTTACCGAAAACACCTAAGAATATGTTGAGAGGGGAAAAAAAAACAGAGGACCCGGAGAAAGATCCACGCGACCACGGGGAGAGACACCGCAAACTCTAAATAGACAGCGCAGGGTGCTTCAAAAAAATTGTAACACTTATATGGGACTATTGTTTTTTATGGAAAAATAACGGATAATACACTTAACGTGATAACAAATGTAATGTTAATAGCTTCAAAAAGTCTGAAGTCTTCCCCTTGTTCGCCAGCGTTGTCAACGCGTGCCTGGAGTTTTATCCAGGTGGTCTCCAGAGCCCGGACACACATTTATTGTGGTATTGTTGCAAATTCTCACAAGTGTTAAAACATTTTTTAAAGCAGCCTGTACAGCAATCCAGGTGTCAGGGTCGCGATCGAACCCACGACCTCCTGCACACCGGGCGAGGTAGTTAACATCTCGCCACCGTGGCAAGGCGTTAAGTCTGCACGTTTTGCATTGACCACAAACTACTTATGCAAAACATGCAAACAAACGTGCTCTGATAATAATTATAGACACACTGCCTATGAAACGGATTGGCCTACACCAGAAACTTCATTATGGCCTCGTCTCGCCACCAGTGTTAGACCAGAGGACGCCAAAAGGCGAACGCTGCAAAGACAATGCAAGTATTCTTGGTTCTTTCGGTAAAGTCACGTAGAAGGGAAATAATATAATAATGAAAATAAAACATAATAAAATACAATTCTCACGACGTTTCGGCCACAACGCAAGCAGCCGTCCTCAGGTGAAGAACAGGGCTGTCGGAAAGACAGCGTCTGAATTCATTCGTGAGAATTGATTTTTATTATGTTTAATTTTTATTATTTTATTATTTCCCTTCTACGTGACTTTACCGAAAGAACCAAGAAGATGAATCCCTGCAGTCACGAAAGCTTTAAATCGACAATGCAAGTGTCAGAGAAAATGTTAAAGTAACCCAAAAAAAACTTTCAGAATGCATGTTTAGCGTAGAGTATTTAACTTTTGAACAAATAACAGTTGCTTATATTCTTAGGTTTTTTCGGTAAAGTCACGTAGGTAAAAACATTAAAAAGTAAAATAAAATAAAAATCACGACGTTTCGGAGGCAACACGACAGCTGTATCAAGTAAATGAGAGATTGCAGGAGCTACCACTTCGTTTATCTCAATCTCTCATTTACTTGATACAGCTGTCGTGGCTGTGACGGTACCACCTGAAGACGGAAGCTTGTGTTGCCTCCGAAACGTCGTGATTTTTTATTTTATTTTACTTTTTAATGTTTTTACCTACGTGACTTTACCGAAAAAACCTAAGAATATGAATCATTGCAGTCACGAAAGCTTCAAATCTAGAATTGATGCTTACCCTCATTGCTCTCTGCTGCTCGAGCAACGTAGCCACCTATATGACACCCTCCATGTCACAAACACCTAAGGGGCCGTCCATAAATGACGTCACGCACCTAGGAGGGGGGGGGGGTCAGACATTTGTGACGATGTGTGACGAGGGGGGTGGTTTGAGTAATGTGACGTCACATAAAATGCGCAACTTTAATTAAATATAGACAACACGTTCTACTTAATTAAATAGACTTTTAAATAAAACATTTTCCCTCCACATTTGTGAATCAACATGCATTCAGAATATTTGGCTGTTATATATATCCACGCGACAAGCCACTTCGTTGAGCTATCATTTGTGATAGCCAGGTCGCTTCTGATAAAATATCTATATAGCTCAGTGGACCTTACCTGCTTTAAAAACATTTGTAGAAAGAACAGCTCTCCAAACCTCCAAGTGAAGATTGCAATAAGCCTCCTCATTCTCGGGTGTGAGATATCGTAGTGGACTATGAAAATGGTCCCACCTCTTTCTCTCAGCCGGTTGGAACACAACCTTGTCCATCAGCCAGAGTTTCATGCTGCCCCCGGTTCAGACCTCGCCGCTGTGTGAGCCTCCCATCTTGAACCTCACACATTTCTTCTCAGCAGGAAGGCTGTAAAATGCCAAACGCGCATTTCAATATGATTTGAAGCTTCAGTTCTACCTAATGACGGTTGCTTGTGTTGCAATCGAAACGTCGTACTCAACTATTTATTTATTTTCTTTCTACGTGACTTTACCGAAAGAACCAAATAGTGCATTTAAATATTCAATAGCTACCTGTCATCAGAAAAACTGTGGGCTTGAATTGGGTCAGAAGGGCATGTATATAATTTCTCAACCCAATAGATAAACACAGGCACACACACTAAATGTGGTATCTATAAATGTTTCATTTCCACGTGTAATTATTAACGTTACTTAAGAGTCGATCCCTCACTAAAGCCAATAGTGTACTAATCAGGGATCAGTGTCCCAGCATATAGTGCAAAGTTATGTTCAATGTCATTGTGGATACTATTACAACATTAATAATTGGACGATATGTCTCCATATATATCTTTGTCCCTCCATGTACAAAATAAAAGTATTTTATTACACTTCCCGTCAACCATTGCGCCTTTTGGGAGTGTGCATTGGTTCGTACAAGCAAATTCTCGACTGGCTGCAACATACATTGTCTCATCAACAAGGTCGAGCTTACATGAAGCAATGCTGCTGAACCGCTAGACGTTATAGGCAACTAAATAGATGTGTCCTTGCCTGTGCAGCTTCAAATCTAGAACATATCTGGCTGCTGGTGAGACAAGGAATGTTGAAACCGGGCCCAGACTGTACTTGCTATTAATCCAACGCTGCCGAAAGTATGCACTCTCTGAAGGCTGTGTGACTTCTGAGATGCTATACTGTATGTAAATCCCAATTTATGTAAACACCCACATGTAAATTTGGGGATTTGGGAAGGAGGCATATTGTCTGCGAACTCCTTTTGGTAGCGTATCGTGTAGGTGTTAATCAAGGGGTTAAAATTTACTTGATACAGCTATCGTGCTGTGACGGTTCCACCTGAAGACGGAAGCTTGTGTTACCTCCGAAACGTCGTGATTTTTATTTTATTTTTTATTTTACTTTAATTAATTTAATTATTTTTACCTACGTGACTTTACCGAAAAAACCTAAGAATATGAATCCTTGCAGTCACGAAAGCTTCAAATCTAGAAAGCAGTGCCCTTCACTAATTTTCAAAGGGGGGCCCACTTTCGCCGATAAGATATCATCAGTGTGTGAGGGCCGCCACACGTTTGAAACCATTGGGGGTTTGACAGGAGGCACGACGATGATGGTGGTGGGGCGGTGTTGTCACTCTTTGTGTGTTATCGGGGGCCGCACGTCAGGGGCCGTGCTAAAGGTCACCAGGGGCCGCGCTAAAGGTCACCAGGGCCGCCAGTGGGCCCGCGGGGCCTTGCAACGAAGAACCACCGCGCTGAAGGGCCGATGGTGCACTCTGAGTTTGACACAACGACGGCTCACATCAGTAACGACGGATATCTGAACTGGCCTTGGGCACCCCTTCACCAATTAGAACTGGCTAGGAAGGTGAAGTATGATCAAACCATAACGTTATACGAGGGCCTTCATTCAGTAGTGGATTGACCGAGAACAAAAATATGTATAATTTAAATCACTCAACTTTTGACAAATTCCACAGCCTACGTTATAATCCTGTGTCCTAACCGTAATGTGTAAGGATTAACATTTATTCCGTTTTAAAATAAATAAATAACCCAGACAGCTCCCATTGAAGGCTGATAAACATGTAAACTATGCCAGGAATGTGTTAATTCCGAACATTTATTTCCACTTGTAATTAGGCATGTACTACTGAGCACAGCAGTGCTCACAATATTTGTACCTTAGATATGAGATGAGTTCAGAACGTTTTGCACATCGATGTCTAAATGTTACAAAGGCAATGATGCAGTGTTTCAAATGAATGAACACGAGCAAGAATGAGCTTATTGCTACACGGCCATCACATTCACGGTGGCGGCGGTGACATGGCCTAGCAGTAGCCCGGTTCATCTTCTTGGTTCTTTCGGTAAAGTCACGTAGAATGGAAATAATAAAATAATAAAAATAAAACATAATAAAATAATTCTCACGACCTG